CCACAGTTGTTCAAAAATTATTAAAAACACATCAGTGAAATACACTGCTGCACTGGGTGACGTTTCCTCATTAACAAAACACAAGACCCTGATATTTGTTTTCTATCTGTATGGGGATTGTTGAAAATACTGTTAATATAGAGAACAACCAGCCTTGTTCTTTAAATAAAGTTAGGAAACACTTTGTCACTATACTGATGAAACAATGTTTGATTTATTCCACACTGCTGTCTCAGGTGTAGGGGGTAGTGCCTTTTCTGCTACAGCCCCAGCAATAACTGGCACCTCATGCACTCGTTCACAGCGATCTATAGAGAGCAAGTCAATGGAGAGCTTCTTTGGCACCAGGTGAGGCTTTCACATTAACTTCTAACTCTTAGTTAGAAGTTACTAGTGAATTCATCCTTAAAGTGTAAAGGTGACTGGCAAAAATGCAAATGTAGTGGCAATTAGCAGAATGTGTATATGTCCGTCAGACACTTCAGTCAGGCAGACTAGCTTTTTGAGACTGTTCCCCTTGACATTTATTTTAGCTGTTAACCTCCTCACTTCCTCGTTACTCGTTATCAGTTTCTTTCTGTGATGGGTGTATACTTTGTCTACACTTGCATGTGTATATAAATTCAAATGCAAAAAAATAACCAAAACAAAAAATATATTCCAGGTTCCCACTGGGCAGACTCAGGTCCTCTATTTCTTCAGGAAAGCAGGTTCCTCTCAAGTCCCACTGTTTGTCTGCAGAGACTGAGAAACAACCTGAAAGTGAAGCTCCAGACTACCTGCCACTGGTGTGTTCTGCAGACTTACGGCATACGTATTAATCTACACAAAAGCATACAAACACATTTATGAAATGATGTTTATATGGTGTCTCCTCAGGTACATCTGCAGCTGGCATCAGGAGCTTTTCTTCTGACTGATATCTACTCGGACTGTGTCCAGATCCCATTGGACCGGCTGAAAAGGGCTTCACCCTACAGCCTACACCGCCGTAGCCTCAGCCTGCCTTTCCGCTGCACATCTCCCAGTGCTCCATCTTTATCCACATCTGCCAAACCTCTGGGTGCTCCCATCACTCACCATGTTACCTTTTCTCCTTCCTCCTGCTCCCTCCCCAAAGCAACCGCACCTCCCTTCCACCACACTCCAATTGACACACCCCTAATACTGGAGCCCAGGCTTCGCCGAAGATGCCTGTCTGACCAAGACCCTGTCACCTACCTCCCTGACCTCCCTAGCTCTGAAGATGGGTCCCTGAAGCTATCCGTTGGCCTTTCTCAGAGCCAGAGCCATGGCCAGGCAGATAGTGGTCGTGGATCAGAGACAGATGTATGTGAAGGCTCTTCAGCAGAGCCAGGTGACCCCCAGGAGAGCTGCCAATTGGCTCAAGAGGACCTGGAGGGTTCAAGCTGGGCCACAGCTGTGGCTCTAGCCTGGCTTGAGCATCGCTGCGCTGGCTACTTCATGGAGTGGGAGTTGGTGGCAGCAAAAGCAGACTTCTGGCTGCGCTGTCAAGAGCTGCCTGAGGGAGTGGACCTGGCAGGGCTGAAGGGAGCTGCCAGACAGCTGTTCCTGCTGTTACGCCACTGGGATGAGAACATCAAATTAAACATGCTGTGTTATAACCCCAATAATATGTGAGACAATCGCCTCAGAAGCAACTGAGCCAGAGTTGCATATTCACTGATTACCAGTGGCTGACTCAAAAGAAGCAAGACCTTTACGTGGAGATGTAATTCCTGTGGTTTGTCTGCACGGTCAGTTAAGATCATGACCCAGTGCAAAGTTCATTCCAATATTAAGTTGCACATGAAAAATTTAACAGCTAATAATCTTATGTGACAAGACCCTTTAGATAGCATGAACCAAGTGGCCTTTTCTTATAAATATGCTTTATGCAATCACAAGAATGCCTTGACCACCTGAATGGGCTTTCTGTAGTCTCGGTTTTAGCTTATTTTACTACTTTGCAAGATGTAAAATCAAAGTTGGTGTCAAATGGGAATGACTTTGATTAGTTGATTAACTAATGATGTATTAAAACTGATTACTTTAAATAATAAAACTACTGCTGGAAAATAGTTTATCATTTGTTATAATGTGTACAATAGAAGCAGCATAACAATATAAATTGGGAGGTAAAAAAAAAAGAAGGATAAAACAGCATAAAAGTTAAGTGGCATCTCTGTTTAATATACACTCACCAGCCACATTAATAGTCGCAACTGTTGAATTGTATGAACTTCAGTGCAACATGTCCCCCTTAACATCTGTGCTTATGAAGCTCAAAATGTTTTTGGCAAAATTGTCACATGTATAAATTCAAATATGTCCATTATTGAGGTCATAATTAAAGGGGGTGTTGTACTGGATTACATTATATTCAGAGGGTTCTCTATATTTTTATCCTCCCCAGCTTCAGCACATACAGTACACGAGAGGCTCAGAGTATTAGGAACACCTGTGAATATAACGTAGTCCAGTACAACACCACTGTGACCACTATGCTGTACCTAATCAAGAGGCTAGTGAGTGTAAATGTCATTTCTGTTTCAGTCCATGAAATACTCTTTACATTAAAATACTCCCAGCAGAGGATGAATCCGTTATGTAACAAATTAGATAAAAGCCATGTACTGAAAACAGCAGTGGTGATGCCACAAACTGATGGCAGATTCATTATACTGCAGTCTTGATACAATGCAGTATTTAATTCATACACCAGCTGACAGCTGTTAAGGCCAAAATGTACGTTTAACATTAAGTTTAAGTTGAAATACAACCTACGTAACATTCTTTACAATTTCTTCCAAGCGTTCCTCTGATTACGTATTTGAAAATGAAACCTGAGAATCCATATTTTTCTCTTCTTATAAGAGATTACATGCCATTTCATCATGTAGGTATCTGTCTGCAGACTGCACCCACACATTAGCCTCCTTCACTTTAAGCGGTGAGCCAAGATGAGAAAGACTCCTTTAATTCAGGTATAAACAGGCAAACCCAGTGACCTCCCTCTTCACCGGTGTTGCAAACATTTAAGAGAGGAGGATGATGGAGGCTGTTCGGCAGCTGATTAGGCTGAATAAGACATCCGGTCCGATCAGGCTGCGGCTCATTGGCGTTTGTCCTTGACAGCTGTCTGTTCTTGTGTTTCTGCTGGAGCTGAAGGCAGCGGCGGAGCCAGCCACAGACAGAGGAGGATGATGGCGTGGCAGATGTGTAGCGCAGCTGAGCTGCCGTTAGTAGGGGGGGAGGGGGAAAGCTCGATCAGACCCAGGATTAGGACCCTGGACACAAGGATAAAATAACATAGCATTAACATGTGATTGACTGCTCAGTGACCTTCTATGCTACAGGTTTAAAAGTGGAACTTCTATTCTAGTGTTTAGGTTTTCTCTTACCTGAGCAGGTGAGCCAGCTTCTTGACTCCTCCACTCCAGAGCAGGTAAGGCAGCGTGTGGAAGTACCACACGTAGAACTGGTAGTGCAAAGAACGACTGAAGCACATCCCAATGAAGTTAGAGGTGAAAAGAATCAGCACCATCTGTGTTGTCTGTTAAGGTTTGATACAAAATCCACTGAATACTAATGTATCATTCACCACAATAATAACATTGCTGAAAGTCCCAATATGTTTCAGTTATTTTAGTTTCAAATGGAACAGAAGGATATGATTAACAGTGTTTTTCTGAGCAGGGACCTTCCTCTTGCCCGGTTCCTTGAGGAGTTCCAAGATGCTTTCCCTTGGCCTGATAAGAGAAAGTGGTGACAGTGGTCTCACAAAAAATTGTAAACTACCTGGCACATATTGTCTATATTGTCCTTAATAGTAAATAGTCTTATCTGTGAAAATTGCACCTGATGACAAACAAATGTGGCTGACATCACTACGTGTGCTAAAACACTTAACTGTGTGCCAATTAAAATGGAAACAGTACAAATAAGACTTGCTGGGATGGTGAAGTGAAATCCGTCCTATGACAGTAAAAATGGGTCAATAAGATTTTGAAGTAGTGAAATAAAAAAAATAAAAAAATGAAATGAGGTTCCTATAACCTCCTACTACATCTAAATATCTCAGCCCACGCCTGTGGTGCTGTGGAACAATTTTAACCCAATTTATTTCAGCTCCCTTCTAAAGCTAACAGTGACCTTGGCACTGCAAAAGTCTGTCTCACCTCTTCCAATGGCAGAAAGCAAAGAGCAACAGGGTGAGCAGGTGGGCAGCCAGCAGGAGTAAGTGGAAGTAGCGATTCAAGAAGAGCCATTCTGGCAGGAAGCGCCAGTTGACTGTCCACTTGAACATAAACTGACGGCCGAGATCAAACGCCCGGCTCATGTAACCAACGGGATTCTCCAGGAGGAACGGGAGGCCCAGCAAAAGCTGCAGTTAAAAAATAAATCAAATTTAGACATAGTCTTTGAAAAGGCACTACATTTCTTAAATTTATTGTACAAAATGAATGGTGCCTAATTTTAGGTTAGATGAAATATTTACCTGTATGCCTGCACACAGAGAAAGTTTTGGGATTGTTCTGATCAGACCAAACTCTGAGAGGAGGAGAAAAAGCAGCCCGGGAGCAAAAAGAAGCACGTTCATTTTGACAGACACTGCTAAACTGTCAGAAAGAGAAGAAGATTAATTCTAATTTCATCATGTCACACAAATTCACAATGATATTATATAGACATTCACCAAGAAATACATGACATCTGTATACATAGTACTTTTAGCACACAGCATTAAGGAGAGACCACACTTGCCTATAAAAGCCACAGCCCAGTGTCCAGTATCCATCTATGAAGAGGTTGACGGCTACAAAGAGGAGCATCATAGCCACTGGGTCATTGAAAAGACGCAGCACAAAGATTGAGTGGATTCGATAGGAAGCACAACACATGAAGAAGAACACGTAGGGAGGAACCTTGAAAAATAATATTATGAAATCACAGAGAAAAGGAGCAGGTTTTCACAAAATCCACCAGCTGCATAAGAATCAGTAACAAAAACACTTGAATTTATTGCTGGTTTTCCCAAAATTTATAAAACTGCATGATAAAAAAATAAAAAAATCAAGGTTCTGTCACATGACCACATACTGACCTTCTTGGTGCGGTAGTATATTCTGAAGACAAGCAAGAGTGTGATGAGGTAGAAAACAGCAAAAATGTACTGGCCCAGGCGAATGTTCACCCCATGGCTGGTGATGTAGTAGAGAGCTGTGAAGATGTAGACAAAGCCAGCCGGGTACCTACAACAACAAGGTGTTAAGTTACCTTATAGAAAAAAAAAAGAAAAAGATCACTGAAATATACATTGAAATACAGGATGTAGACATCTACAACACTGCAGGCAATCGAAACTCACACCAAGGGGCCCGTGTCTCCTTTAAGCTGGGTGTAGTCATAAGTACCATTGATAACTCCCTCTACTTCATCCATGTAGGCTTTCCAGTCTATTTCAGTGTCTGCAGTGAAGCACATAAATCACTGATCATGACTGATGGGGAAGGTTTTAACAGCATGTCATGGTCAGTGTTGATGTTATTTTTCTTGTCTGCATTAATACATTCAATTATTTTTTTACAATTTAATTACCTTTAGCTATTCCAAAAAACAAACAAAAATCCAAGCAAACCAAGCCAAGCCAAAGACAGAAGTCCATTACAATTCCTCTGGATCCAAAGTGCCACTGACCATTTGCTTTTGTCTCACAATCTACTGTTAATTCAATAACTATTTCAGCACAACAATGCACATGCATGTTTACTAGTGCACTAGTTACAAAAAGCAGTCGCAGATAAGAATAGATGCCATTTAACGCAGGGATAGAGCAAACGATTGCATGTGGTCCTACTAGGACAGTAGATTCCTTTAGACAGGTGGCAGTTTAAGTTAGTATGTTTGCTAACGCTAGCTACTTAGCACCCAGACAGGTTCAGAAAAATGATAATACAACATAGCATGCTACCTAGCCGCGCAGCTACTTACACGCTACTTTTTGTATGACCCACACATTGATTCCGATCTCCAGGAACCACAACACTGAAACGACCAGTAACGTGTACTCCGTCTTGAACAGAACCAAATATTTGTCCTGCCACACTGTGTGAAGTTTCCCCCACAAAGCGGACTGGGAACCCGAAGACTTTCTCCGCACACCTCCTGCCATCTCTACGGTGACGTGGAAAAAGACCGCAAATGACATGCGCAGGCTTCGTCACATGACGCGACATGTCAAATTGGCATGCAGAAGAAGAAGAAGACGACTCCATAGGTAAATGTCAACTTTAAATATTTCCTTTCTCTTATAGGTAAAGCAACAGATTTATTGTCCATTGTACTTGATCATTAAAACACATGCACTTATATACATTTAATTCTTGTGGCTTACATGGTTATCCAACGTTAGGTTGTAAGAAATAAAATCGCGTTTACAGGTCACTGCTATTGGTACATTGGTACATAGAAACATTAGCTGGCTAGCAGCTAACTTCTCTAACGTTAACCATTACTTTAAAGAACATGATCTCAGTTGAATATGCTGTAACAAGTGGCTGCCAAAGCATATAACATGTACGGTCAGCATGATTTCTGATTTGCTAAGAATTCATAGACTAATTTAGTGCCTTCAGAAATGATACACTACTGAGATGAGGCTGTTATAATCAGTTGAGTGTAGTCTTTTTAACCAGACAGGAACAAACATTCTTTCACATAAATGCAAAAGAAGGATACTTCTCTTTATTTGTTATGGTGAAAAAATGTGCAAAATGTATGACAGGGAATCAGTATATTGCAGGAAACTGTAGCACAATATGATACTGTAACATTATTATTTGTGCCATATTTAAATCAGATCGATCAATATTTAATTCCAAACACATTGAAAATATATTAAAAACATGTCAAAGTAAAGTCAGGATGAAACTTTCAGCTGTGGGCTTGTACATTAAAGAAGACAATGGATTTACTGACCTTCTAACATGTCATATGTTTTTGCAGGTCTGCTCCCGGGACAGTGACAGGAGACCCAGAGGGAATGGATGAATTTCCTGTGAGGTTTATAGAGGCACTGTGTCTCGGGACCAGCCTTGCCTTCTCAGGCATCTGCTATTATCTGTACAGGAAGCGTCGGATAACAGTGGAAAAACTTGATGTTAGTTTCTGATCATGTGTAATGAACAGAATTTTATACAACTTTATAGTGTCATATTTTGCTAATTTCATGCTGCCTTAGCCTTTGGTAGGAAAGAGATTATTGTAAAGTGATGTAAAAAGTCCTCAGGGTTACCATGAAGCTTGAAATCCTCTTTTGGCACATCAACATTTATGTCCCTAAAGTGTGTTTACAGTGGAGGTTAATCTTCTAGAGCCAGTTGTTTCCAGCTGTTTCCAAGCTAATAGCGTGGAAACAACTTGTGCCTGAAGCAGGGTGTACTTGCAGTCCCTCATAATAGTTTCTATATATACTTTTAGAGAACTGAAGAAGTAGACTATGCAAATATTCAAAAGCAAAAACTGGAGAAGAGGAAAAGAAAATTGAATTTTTGTGTCAGATGTTTTTCTTTTTCTTTCCCATCTTGCAAACCATTCCACGGTCCAACCCTCCAGGTTTGGAACCAGTGCAGTCAGTAACAGATTTCCATGCACTGTGCAATATTATAAAACCTAAAGCCTGTCTACTGCAATATGTATACTGTAATGCAACAGTCTGTTTCCCATGTTGTCAGGATGCGCCACACTTAGCCATAGATGGATGCCTCAAAGACATTTTAAAAGTTACTCCAGGAGCTTGTCTGCAATATGCTGTCATTGAAGGTAATCAGGGTCTCTATATTTATTCACTAAATGTGTATACCTTTTTTTTTTTTAACAAAACCTCTTATTGTCTATTATGTGTGTATGCTTTTATATGTAGGTACTGTGCAACCAGTAGGTGAGCCTATAACCAGTCACTTCCAAAAGGAAATACATGGAGTGTTACAGAGACTCATGTTGAAAGAACACAGGCTGGTGTGGAGCAGTTTGTCACACACTTGGTGAGAAGTGAGACTAAATATTTGTTTTTGTAAAATGTTCCACAAAACATGACACAAGTGAGGTAACCCTAACGATACAGTTTATTTGATATTTTACCTGTGTCATCATATGTCTTGACCAAAAAGACTCATTATTTCCACCTCTACTTGTTGCAGGATGGACAGTGAGCAAATCTTGCTCCAAAGAGTAAATGAGGTGCCCTTTGCATTAGTGGGAACAGATGAGACCACAGTCAAAGTCCTGTGCCCTCAGCAGGCCTCTGGAGTGCACATGGAGATGACCCATGAAAAGTTTCACCAGATCAATTATGGCTTGGGTGACATAGTAGGACAGTACCTCAGCGGGGAGAAGCTTAAAGGGCAGCTGGAGACAGAGGAAATGCTCAAAGTCAGTTGTTAAATGACATACTAACATTGTTAACTTCTACAATTTAGTGATTAATTCATTGCCGGTTGACAAAGCATAAATATTTTTTGTTTACCACTATGAAAAATACTGGTCTTAATGATACATTCTGCCGATATTTCCCTCTCTTCCTAGGTAGGTGCAACTCTCACAGGTGTAGGTGAGCTGACACTAGACACAGACGGCAGCCTGTATCTTCGGCCTCCTAACGGTTTACAGTACTTCCTGAGCATAACAGACTTTGACACCCTACGGGGCGATCAAGAGCGCGCAACTGTTCTGTGGAAGGTGCTGGCCGTTGGCTTTGCTTTGGCTGGGGTGGCAGTCCTGCTATGGGCGGCTCGACGCCACTACAACCACCTAAAGGTTTGCTGGGAGCGTGCTGCTGTCACAGGCCCCGAGGACCCTCAAGACGGGACAGAGAATCGCATAGAGAATGCCTGTGTGATTTGCCTCAGTCAGCCACGTAACTGTATTCTGTTGGACTGTGGGCATGCGTGCTGCTGCTACAACTGCTACCAGGCCCTTCCAGACCACCGATGCCCCATTTGTAGGCAGAACATCAG